TTTCATACATATTTTCATGTATCAGCTTTATCTTATAATAATATCACATATTGAAGTGATGTTGATGATAAGAAAGAATATTGATTAACATATTCTCTTGTTGTATCAGGTATTTGTTTAGTTACCGATCACAGAAAGAAATCTTGTTTTTTGTTTATCTTATCTTATTTTTATAAATATAAAGATTTTACTTAAATTTATCTTTTTAAATAAAAATAAAGTAGCACCTCTACTGCTAACAGATTCTTATCTTGTCATCATAGAAAAAGTCATATATGCCGAGTCGATTTTTTATGTACAAATGTATATGTTATATCATGTGCTGCAAGAAACGTGACTTCGTCTAATTAATAGTTGCTATCATGTGTATTCAACCATAAATAGCATATCGGAAATGACAAAGTGCAAAGAGAAGTGATGATTTTATCATGACGATATTAAATATCATGCGCATGAGTCAGTATTTTTACGATGTTGGCAAAGGAGGAAGAGAATGAAAATTAATAAAAAGTATTGTATCGAACTATTTAAGGAGAAACTCTCGGAGAGTACGAAATCAAATCATTCTCTCGTTCTATTTGCTAGATCGAATCATTACACTTGATAACACCTTCGAAAGTAAGCAACGATCATCCATTTCAAACAAAAATTTTTGATTGTGGGAAAAATTTAACAAGTATCATTTCAATCAATAGTAAATTCTCATTGTCGAAAGTAAATGTACTAGTGTTTTTGAAAAATGAACTAGCTTTAACATGGAAGAAGAACCACGTTGAAAGCCAGTTTTCTTGACTTAACCATGATTTGGAGCACTAGTGGACTCGTAGTACTGTGATTAGGGCAGTTTTAATAATCTATAGCTTATACTTAAAACGCGATTTTGAATTAGGGCTATCACATTTGCGTTAAATTAGTAAGTTCTTTGTAAATAAGTCATACTTACTAAATTATATGTTTAAAAGTCACACTAACTAACTAATTTAACTTGGACTAACGTAGAAATGTCAGCTCTAATTCTAGGCTGGTATTGTATTTCTTGTTAGTGTGAGTGCGAGTATGTGTGAAGAGTGAAATCTTACGAACAACCATATTCACACTTGCATCTACCCACACCATAGATCCTAATATCCCATGTACTGAACCCACCTTCCGCATGAATAAACACCAGAGCCTGAGCTTCATATTCATGCAAAAATGTCGAGAATTCATCATGTATTTGAAAAGAAACTGTACCAACTTTTCTTTCGACACAACGTAGTGTTTGCAGCATGAATGGTAATAATACAGACGATAAATACATGCATCAAGTATTGACAGTCATTATCGTATACTAAGGCCAGAGTTAAGGCCAATGAG